TAAAATTAATTTCAAATAAAGAGTTACATCCATAATAGAAGTTTTAATTTAATTGGGTTGAAATATTAAATTAACTATAATTCCTAAACCTATAAAAATTGAACGAAATTTCAATACACAGAGAAAATAAATACATGATTTTGGGATGATTCATAAATATATAAACATCTAATCTATTAAAATAAAAAATATATTTCTGAAGATGTGACATTACAAAAATCAAAATATCCCGTAAGTAACGATGGAATTGCCCATATATTGACAAAGAGCTTCTTAAAGCTAAGTGTGTGTAGTTCAAGTGTGATATGGTTCATGCACTAAAAAACATAATTGCATTGAAGTTTTTATTAATTTTTTTATTTTTATTGTCATCGACATCGGTACAATAAAGCAGTTTATCCATATAATTGAGTGCATTTAATTTAGTTAAATTAGTTAATTTAGTGCGCATGCACACCAAATTAACACATAAACTGAAATATACACGTAAATATACACTGAAATATACCCAATATATATATGAAAAAATATACACATCAAATTAACACTTATATGGATAAACTCCTTTATTGTACAAATAGGATAAATAACGGTCTAAAATATGTAACTTTCAGTTATGTAAATTTTCAGTTATGTAAGTTTTCAGTTATGTAAAAATTGAAAACTATTATTTTCTTTGTTGTAGTTTTAAACTTTTTTAAAAAAATTTAATTTTTGAATTTTTTAAAGTTTATATTTAGAAACATTTTTTTTTAATGAATGATTTGAAAGATTATCTTTGCTGGCATATTATGATTTGAAAAATATCTTATCTATCGGCGAAATATATATATTTTTTGAACAACCCTTTATTATTATTTAAATTAGTATTTGTATCCTTGTAATATAACACTTGTTTACTACAGAAAAACTATAAACATTCTTAAAAGACTCAAGCACCCAAAGGCAATATTGCTCAATTTTCTAATCTAGTTGTGTCAAATCTTTATGAAAAAACATGTTTCAATATGGTATCTTCCAAATCATTAACAAACCCAAATTTGTATCACTACAATTTCCATTACTGCAAAGAGATATAATAGCTATTATATATAATAGATAGTCTATTGTAACTTCTTGATTACTGCAAAAAGATATAAAAGCTCGAGGAGAACGAAGCCGAAAATGATTTCAAACCCTATATAGTCTTTGTTGTATAATTAATAAAGCGGTAAGTCAAAATGACATTTTACCAAAAAAAAATATTTGAAATGTCATTTGTAAGCTTTGAAAGCTGTAATCGAAGTCTTTTAAAAGTTTATTGCATAGGTTTTAACAACAATTCAATCAGTTAAGAAGTTAATTATTACAAAAATCACTATTGAAGCGAAGCAATTGTTTCTTGCACACCTCAATTATAGGTATAAATATCAAAGTTTTAGACAATCTTTACTACCGGTTTGAACCTTATTTTTTGCTTGCCTGTTCAGCTCTAGGTTTTTTACATTCTTTATGAATGTTCTATAAGCCAGGTACTTATAAAATTTCTCTTGGCTTTTATTTTGTGTTGTAGTATTTTTGCTGAATTTAAAAGGAAATCTCTTTATTCTAAATATAGAGATATAAAATACCTGGCAAAAATACTTCCAATTCTTATCTAGACATTTATTAATTCAATTCAATAAACTAACTTTGAATATTGTTTACGAATTTTTTAAACATCCATCTTTTATTTGCAACGCTTCAATTGCTTACAACGTTTTAAAAAAATATTATTGGATAACTTTTGTTAAAAGAGGAGTGTGATTGGTTAACATTAAAATATAATAATTTTGCGGTGTTCTTTGAGAAATCTCCAGTCTATTACGACTCCTTGATTACTGGGCAGAATTGAAGTCTTTTTTTGAAAAGGACCTTTATAAACTAAATTGGAAATTCAAAAAAAAAAAAAAAAAACTGTTTAGAAGGGGCAATAATACCTAACTTGCTACCAATAAAGACCTATTTAATTTCGGGTAAAATTGCACGTGGATTACACAAGTTTTAAATGCTTATAACTAAAAATTTAGAATTCTGCTATGAATGTCTTTTTTTAAAATTAAATAGATATTTATAGGTAGTATGTTAGGTATTTTTTCCCCTTCTAAACTTTTTTTCTTTTTTTTTTTTAATTTCTAATTTAGTTTACAAAGGTCATTCCTTTTGAAAAACAAGACTATTCAATCCTGCACTACTGCTATTGATAATATTCTAACAAACTCCTGTTAAGATAAGTCCTAAATAAGCAGAATTGAACCTAATTTATAATTTTAAAACCTAATTTATTGGACCTTTCCCCGATTTTCATTTCTCTTATTGAAGACTCAACTATGATAAAAAACTCTCTCAAAATAAAACTTTTCAACGAAAAATCATTTAACATTAATAACACATAGTAAATAAAATATAAAACGAAGTATTTAAAAATTTCCGTGGGTTGCAAGCAGAATAAATATTCAAAAAAATAGAGCAACATATTGTTTATAAGTAATATAAAAACCTATTTGAAAAAATAAAACAGAAATCTAAGAAGATTTTAAACAATTACAAAAAAAATAACTCAAGCATAAAGAAAATATGAGAAATAATGAAAGAATTTATTAGTAAAAGTAAAATAAACTCAGATTTTATACTCTTCAGAGTCACGGGAACTATCCAATACTAACAGACAAGTTACTGACAAATTGATAAATTATCGGACAAACTGAAAGTAACAAAACCGTACCTAACAAAGATCCGTCTATTTTAATTAATTACAGACTATTCTCACTTTCTATATTTTTTTTAACTACTTGAAAGAATAATTTACTACAAAATATAAAAAAAATTAAAATAAGATAAAATATTATTATAAAATCAATACGGTTTTTAAGCTGAACATGCAATCATAGACCATGCCATCTTTTTTGATCAGACATAGGTGTTCGACAAAGTAGACCATGCAATACAGTAGTATTGCATTTTTTTGTAAAAACATACGGAATCAGAAACCTAACCATAAAAAGGTTCGCAAACTATCTAGATAATAGTCATGCAATACAGTAGTATTGCATTTTTTTGTAAAAAAATACGGAATCAGAATTCTAACCATAAAAAGGTTCGCAAACTATCTAGATAATAGTCAACAATGCTTTTTGATCAAAATTACAATTCAAAACAGTTACAAATTAAAAGTGTTGTCTCTCAAAGTTCAGTTCTTGATTTTTATTATTATACATCAACCTTCCTAATGTCTCATATAAAGTTGCATAATTTTTGCAGATAACCCTGTTTTATTCTTCTGGTTCTATCATCGTCCTCTATATAAGCGTAAACTTGGAACCTCAAAAATTGAACACGTGGTTTAGAACAAAAAATTGTCGTAAAACAAAACACAAGACATATTTTACTCTAAAAAAAATCATTCCTACCAATTTTTCTAACTCACATCATTGCTACCAATTTTTTTTTAATACCTATTCCTACCAATTTTACTAACTCACATTATTACTACCAATTTTTTTTTTAATACCTATTCCTACCAATTTTTCTAACCCACATCATTACTACCAATTTTTTTTTAATATCTATTCCTATCAATTTTACTAACTCACATCATTACTACCATTTTTTTTTTTAATACCTATTCTTACCAATTTTTCTAACCCACATCATTACTACCAATTTTTTTTTAATATCTAGTCCTATCAATTTTACTAACTCACATCATTACTACCAATTTTTTTTTAATACCTATTCCTACCAATTTTACTCTTTGTATAAATAACAAAATTATTGAAAGAATTCTATATTTTAAAGAACATCATAAATTTATATCAACATAAAATAAAGAATACAATTAAATTATTGTAGTCTCAATTCTAAATTGATAAAATATCCCCGTTTATAATTATTTTGTTTTAAAACCACATATAATATTGAGTGCTAAACTGAGTGCCACATATAATATTGAGTGCTAAAGTGAAAACCACATATAATATTGAGTGCTAAAGTGAAAATTTTAAAATTAAAAATTTTAAAATTAAAAATTATATTTTAAAATTAAAAATTAAAGTTATAGTTTATAATTAAATATATAAATATAGCTATAATAGCTCGTTTAAAGTTAAAAACTATCGTAAAAGTTTAAAACCATATTGAGTGCTTAACCGAAAACTTACTTATACTACCTAAAGAAAGTTTACTTCAGTAAAATACATATATAAGTTAAAAAAATAATAAAATAAGTTAAAATCAAATCCGAATTTTTTATCTTTTTTCTTTGAAAATTTAATATAGAATCTATGTTATAAAAAAACAAGTTTAATTAAAATAGTTGTATAAATTAAAATCAGTTTTAAAAATAATTACTTTTCTTAGTCTACATAGGCCAAAAAACAACGTTATACTTCGTTATACTTCATTATACTTCGTTATACTTCGTTATACTTCGTTATACCTCGTTATACTTCGTTATACTTCGTTATACTTCGTTATACTTCATTATACTTCGTTATACTTTGTTATACTTCGTTATACTTAATAAGTTATACTTAATAAGTTATACTTAATAAGTTATACTTAATAAGTTATACTTAATAAGTTATACTTAATAAGTTATACTTAATAAGTTGAACATAATATATATGTAACAACGTTATATTTTGTATATTATATTAACGTTATATTATATAAACTAAGTTAAATATAATATGTATGTAACAAAGTTATACTTAATAAGTATATTTTATTGTATAATGTGTAATTTAAGTATAATATGTATATTTTAATCAGTAACCATACTTTATTTCAAAGTGTCTTACTCGATACATAAATTTTGTATTGAAAAACCACTTATAGTTTTGTGTTCCTCATAAATAAACATAATATTTATTTTATAAGAAAATAAATTTAATTTTATTAAGTTATATTTAAATATTACCTGATACTAAATATTATTAAATATATAATAGTATATCAAATAATATTATTTATTTGCTCACATTAGTAAAATACTTTTTGATTAAGCATATTTTCCTTGTTGATGCGTTTTTATTATTAAACTTTCAAGTTATAAGTTTATATTACAAATAAATAATTTAGCACATTTTGAGAGTGTTTATAGTATCTTTGTATAGCTTATAATTTATTTAAAATTCATTAAAATTTAAGTTCATTAAAAATTCTTATATAGTATTAAACAACAAAAAAAGCAAATGACAAATAGAGGTTTACTCAGTTTTAACAAAGATTTAAGGAACTCAAAAAAAAGAAACTATTTTTCTAAAAATAAACATAGTGCTGTATAAAAACTAGAATTAGTAATATATATTTCATACAATTAGGGCCAGGGGTGGATCCAGCGTTATTTGGTTTCTGAAACAGCTAACTTCCAAGAATAGAGCGAACTCCAAACATTTATATGTTTATACTTATGTCAAACAAGGATTCTTTCCAGAAAATTGCAATGATTGGAGCCTAGGAACAAAAAAAAAAAAAACCCTCATCCTGCCCAAAACGTGATAGCAATAAGTTGATAAAATATATTTTTACAAATTATAATTAGAATTATACTCATTGATAAATTTTAGGTTTCATAATATAATCTCTCAGAGTTCAAAAAGCATGACCGTATAAAATTTGTGAGCCCCTCAAATTGAGTGGTGTTATTTTTTATTAGGGCATTTTAAGAAGCCAAAAAACCGAGCTGTTATTACTGAGCTCGACTAGTGTTTGACTCAAGCAAATTTAACAGAGCTTAAACAAAATTGGTTAAGCTTGATTTGCTATTGGTTAACATATTTCACTTTTTATTATTATTTATATAAAGAACGCGTCTCTAAATGTTAAAATCAAAAAGTTAAAATAACTTGCGTATATTAAAAAAAAATGAAAGCTAATTAAACTTTGAAAAAAAAAACATTAGACTGAAAAGATCAATTATTTTGAACAACGCATAAGCTGCAAGTATTCCAAATCGTGGTGGGAAACAAAACTCGAAAAATGCAAAGAAAATCTTTCGTTTAACTATAAACAATGGCAAAAATGAAAATATAATGATACACAAGAATGCATGGAGTACGAAAGATAAATTCTTAGATTAGCTTTAGGATAACATTCGTAAAATCAAAAAACTAAACAAGAACTCGGCTATTATCGTGTCAGATAGTTAGACCTACAAAATTCTCGACCTACTAAGTTGTTTTACAAAAAGAACATCTACTAAAAAGTGGAATTAATTTTCAGATAACCTACTGAGGCCAAAATTTTTTTTCAACCGAATATAGTTTTTTGTATTTTCAATCGATTTATGTCGTTTTCGTTTTCGTTTTTTTTTTTTCGTTTTTGTTTTTCATTTTCATTTTCAATCGATTTAAGATAAACTAATTTTCAACCGACTATCTGGTTTGTGTTTTTAACGTTGCTTTTTTTTAAACTACGTTTTTTTTTTTTTTTTAAAATTAACAATCAATAAGTTTTTTAAGCATTCATCGAACCTTATACCTCCCAATTCTGAAGACAGCGCTTCAACCACTTCGTCAAGGCTGATCAAATTTGGCTCGTATTTAAATCAACAACAAAATTTACAAAACACATACCGGAAAGACGTAATTATAAAATTAAAAATACAGTAGATTGAATATTCAGATGGTTGAAAATTCAGTCGGTCAAAAATACAGGTCAACGATTTAGTAGATTGGGAAATCAATAGTACATGTTTTAATTATAAAAATCAAAAATTGTTGGTTAATAATCAAAAATGTCATAATCTAAGATTTACGAAATTTCAAAATTAGGTTATAAATTGAGTTATAGGCCACCGTTATACCAACATTTTACTTAACTTGCTTAGATTGTTTTGTTTTTTTGTATCTGCGCAAAACAAACACGAGGTCAGCAATAATAATAAAAGAAATTGCTAAAAAAAGTAATTAAAACAAACAATAAACAACAAACTTTTAGCGTTTTAGTTTAGCGTAAATATATAGAATCGCTTGTTTTTAAAATTTTTTACATATATACATATATTTTTTAATTAATAAATCGCAAAACATAAAAGATATCGCTATGAATTCAGACGACATTTTAAAACTCTAATCAATACGCTGTTTATTATAAACAACAACCAAATTTCTATTCAAACTTCATCTCTAAATAGCAAATCTCATTAGGTATTACAACAGCTAAATATTAATCTCTAGATAGCTATGGGTTGCAAGATGTCCGGCTTTTACAAAAGAGAACACAGTGAAAAAGTTTAATTTCCTCCGTAAAAGCCGGACGTATGGCAACCTTAGCTAAGAAATAAGTGCTGAACACCTTAAAAACTCTCATAATAGTAATAATAATAGGGTTAAGCGGGGCGAGTTCGTCATGTTTTACTTTAACAAAATGAGATTGCATATAATTAAGTAAACTTTTCTAGTTTAAAAGCATTTTTTTTTATTAATTAGGGTCTCTACTTTGTTAATGTATTGAATCAAAATAAATTTTAAACTTACTTTAGCGTAGAACTTGATTTTTTCACCATCAAGTCTTGAGGGGCGAATTCGTCAATTACAGGGCGAATTCGTCAGTACAACTAAACTAATTTAAAAATACGTCACTAAAGGCGATAAAAAAACGTCACTACACAAACACTTGTCGTGTTTGTGTAGTATTTATCAGTATTATTTTTTAGAATAAAAACACTAGATGAACTTGGGTGATCAGAATCAGCTGAAAAGTAAGTCTTCTTTATTTTTATTTTGACTGATTTATCTTTTTTTATTTTGACTTCTGTTTAACACTGACCACATTTTTTATTAGAGCCTATTTAGCAGGAGGCTCTTTTATAAACTTAGCATTATCTGGAAATGTAGTAAGAGCAATATGACGTTTTGAGTGAGTAGACTTGCTTTTTTTCCGTAGAAGATACATTAGTCCTTAAAACAGATAAATTTGATAATGCAAACCGCAATAGTAAAACGCATTAACAATCAACCCTCTTTTTGAAAGTATGTTGGGCCATAATTTGTTAACAATAACGTGAAAGTTGCAATATTTTGTTAAAAAAAATGTGAAAGTTTCAACGAGGCATAGAAATAATATAATTTTCAGCTAAGCAATTAGACAAGAATACCAAGGCTAAGCTTATCCTTGAATACCAAGGAATTGTACAATACAAAATGAGGAGTTAAAACTAAAGATTTTGTTTTAAAACGAAACTGTGAAAATTCTATTTGTATAAAATTTATTTTTTCAAGAAAAAGCTAAAACTTAAATAAAAATGGTGAATTTGACGTACTCGTACTGGTACTTGGTTGTAAATTACACTTTTTATACAGAAAAAGTAAATTACACTTTTTATACAGAAAAAGATTCAACTGCTTATTCAGAAATGTCTGAATTTTCTCCTGACGTCTAATGCTCCTAGACTACTAGTTGTTTTATTTTCTATTTGTTATGATTTATAAAAATGGTTAAAAGTACACCTCACACCCAACATCAAGAAAAAATAGTAATTAAGACTTGAGCAATAACAATCAATATTTGTCGAAATTATTGTTTTGTATTTACTAACTTGATAGTAATAAAAATAGTGAACTTGACGTACTCGTACTGGTACTTGATTGTAAATTAAAGCAACTTGATAGTAATAAATGGACTTTTATATCAAATCTTACCTTTTTTTTTTTTTTGTTTTTTTTTTTGTTTTGTTCTTATTACAAAATACTATGGTATAAATTTCGTTGTACATTAAATATCAGAACACGGAGACTCAAAGAGGATTGTAAGATCCTGTCACTGAGAACCGTTTTACAATACAGTCAAAATAAAACCAGTTAAATAATTACATTAAATGACGTTTAAAAATAAAATTTAAATTTAACCAAATATTTTAAAACATAAAATAACGTTTAACAACATGAAGAAAATATATAAAACTAAATATTTCAAAATAAAACAATATATTCAGGAACCACACACTTTTTTAAAAGGTATAAACTCAAAAGAACTCAAAGATATTATCAATTGACAAGATAACTTTTTCAACTTAATTTTAAAAGTAAGAAAACTCCAACTTTGGAAAAAATCAAAATTTTTCAAAACTATTTTGTTCCACAAAAGAGCTCCGTGATATGTTAAAAGAGATCTTCCAAAACTTGTATGAGAATAATGTTGATGAATAAGATTGTTATTTCTTAAGTCATATTTGTTTTTTTTGTTTTATTGCATATAAATTTTGAAAGGATATAGGGGTTAACTTAAACTTACATTTGTACATAAATAAAAGAACATTAAAAGCATTTTGCTGGTATATATTAAGAACATTCATTTCCAATAAAAGAGTTCTGGCAAGAGTTAACGATCTTTAAAGTTTATTAAACGTGCTATATGCTTCTGTTGCCGTTATAGAGGATCTAATTGAATTTTTTTCAGCACTACCCCATGCGATATTTGCATAGTTTATATGGCATTGAATTAGCGAGTGATAAAGTTGAATTAATGAATGTCTATTTACAAAATTTCTCGCTTAATACAATACTCCAATATTTTTTGAAACTTTATTGCGCAAAATTTCAATATGGTTTTTCCAAGTTAATTTTCATCAATGAAAACATCAAGAAAATGTATAACTTTTTATTTTTTTTTATTTGAACATTGTCAATATATATTTGAGGCATATCATTTAATAAAAGTTTTTTTTGTGATTTTGAATGAAATAAAGCCGATTTAGTTTTTTTCAAGTTAATTGATAGTTTATTTGACTTAAACCAATTTGAAATTTTAATTAGCACTATGTTGATTTCATTAAATAGTGTAATGATACTTTTACCGGATAGAAAAAGATTTGTATCATCAGCAAACATTACTGTCTTCAAATTTGAGGCATTGTGCAGATCATTAACATAAATGAGAAAAAGTAGTGGCCCTAATATAGATCCTTGGGGAACACCACATGTTATATCAAGTAAACTTTTTGAGAAGGATACGTCAAATTGCACAAACTGTTTACGATTGCTTAGATAGCTTTTTAGCAAATTTAATAAATTTCCGCTGATTCCATAGTTTTTAAGTTTTTTTATAAGAATCTCATTGTCTATCGTATCAAAGACTTTTGATAGATCAATGAAAACTCTAAGAGTAAATTGTGATTTCTCAAAAGAATTTGCAATATTATTAGTTACATGAAGTATGGCGTATTCCGTGGAGTTGTTTTTTTTGAATCCATATTGACTGGCATTTAATATTTTATTTTTAGAAAGATGTTCATATATTTTGTTGTAAAAATAATGCCTAATATAATAAAAGTTGCACTTTTATTTCAAGATATATTCAAACAGGTTTTATAAAAATAAATAGTTCTAATTGGGTTCTAATTTTAAATTCTGTTTATTTACAATTTATTTAAAGTATTGTAGCGTTATTTTATTTCATTGCCGCAATGAAAGTTAAAAATCCGTTAACGGCTGGGCCGATTTTACCTGGCTCTATTTAATTTGTGTACGGTATAATAACTTTTGATGCGCGCGCAGAACTTATTATGCTTTCAGATTATTGTGAACTTATTGTGCATTCAGACGAAAAAACTCACCGCAGGGCCTTATTGAACTGGCCCGAGAAGAAAAGAAGCGTATCATACGTAAATATATCACTTATTTTAAAAATATACTGAATATGCTTAAATCTTTGTTTTTAACACCATTCTTTATTTGAAGATATAATTTTGTGTTCACCGTAATTTTTTATATTTATGACGTGTTTTTAACTCACTAAAAGTTTCTTCCATAAAATCAAAATTAAAAAAAAGTTAAACAAAAATAATACTAAAATCTGTTCAAATCATAATGCAGCACTATAAGTTTTCAGTAAGTTTTTGCTGATTTTTACGGAGGTTTAAAAGATTCAATACCATTAAATAATTATGCTTTATTTAAGGAGTATGCTAGCACTTAACTCTCTCTACTAATCAAAAAACGCTACCGACCAAGCACTTTTTAACAAAGACCAAAGCATCAATTACGTAGACAGCGAGTCATTTAGACAGCGAGTCATTGAGATATTTTTCAGTTAATTTTTCCTGGCCCCACCAAAGTTTGTTGTCACCGGCTACCACTGGTTATGTATTTAACGTAGTTATTAACAATTATTGACAAATTATTATTAGTATTTGATCAAAAAAACAGTCAAAATTAATTAATAAGAGTTACAAAATTTAAAAAAGAAAATTGAAAAAATTATAAGGGCTGTCTGCTCAGCAAATATTGCTAGCATTAAATGGTGAAATGTAATCCTTCGTCAAAAAATCCTTTTCATTACTTTGAACGGCATTTAATGCAAGATTTGCAATTAATAATACAAAACTATAAATAGGAAAACTCTATAAACAATCATATATTTGCTTTAAGTGAAGAAACTTGAAAATACTGAAACTTCTTAAACTGTTTTAGTTTTTTATATACATTTAATATTCTAAAGAAAAAAAGGTCAATATATAAAAAATTAAAATATTATTATGGAAAAAGCATTATCTATACGCAAAATCCTAAAAATTTAATGAAAGTTACTAAATCTTTTGTAATACTTAGTACACATAAATTTATAAAAAAAGAAACCATAAATTCAAGATAAACATATTTAATGAAGGAAATAAAAACTCTTAAATGTTTAAATGGAAGTTTTATAACAAAATTTATCATAAAAAGCATAAATTGTTAACAAAAAAGAACAGAGTATATATCTTTTAAACAAATTTACTCAAAAAGTAAAAGTATAAAAAATATTTAATGAACTATACATCTGTTCAATAAAATTTACTTAAAATTGTAAATATTAAAAAAATAATAGTTATTAAAAAACTATATATCTTTTCAACATTTCTTATAAAAACATTCTTTCAACAAAACTTTTTTCAACACTTTTTATAACTACACTAACTACGAAAAGATTTAATTTATGTGTTTCATCATGACAGTACACCACTTGATGACAGTGCTCCCAACAAAGCCAAGTCACGTTATAGCAAAGTACACCACTTGGCTAGCAAGGTCAACACTCTTGCTGTAAACTAAGCCAAGTCACAACAATTTGAATTTATGCAAACAACATAATAACCACTTACAAACTATAAACAAATAACATTATATCACAAACATAGAAATACTCATATAGATATTTATTCACTTACAAAATATAAACCCATATAACCTTAACACATATAAACACATAATAAATAACACACAAATAAAAATATATATATATAAATTAGAAACTTTGTAAATACAACCTTATTTTAGTAATCAATTATGTAAGGATTTCTAGGAGTTTAAGAATATTGTGATGCAAAAAGTGTTGCTATACAGTTTTGGGCAAAAAACCGAGCAAAAAACATATATTTATAAATATAATACATATATATATATATATATATATATATATATATATATATATATATATATATATATATATGTATTATATATATAAATATATGAATATATATATATATATGTATATATATATATATATATATATATATATATATATATATATATATATATATATATATATATATATATAGATATAGATATATATATACATATGTATAAATACATATATATATATATATATATATATATATATATATATATATATATATATGTATTATATATATAAATATATGAATATATATATATATATATATATATATACATATATATATATATATATATATATATATATATATATATATATATATATATATATATATATATATATATATACATATATAGGTTATAAATATATATTATATTGCCACGATGCTGAGGTGCAGGCAGTCACTTTCAATTTTGAAGGTAAAAAATGACAGAAATATAATTCTTGTTCCAGCCGGAATTTTATTATAAATTCCGGTAAATCCGGTTTCAGCCGGAATTTAAAATTTCTATTCCGGTACACCCCTAATTTAGAGTTAATTTTTTTATTTTTTTATGTTGTGTTTTTTAAACGACTAATAATAAATTTCTAAATTAGAATTAAATTAATTTAGATAAGAATTAGTCTAGATGAGAATTAGTAATATTTTTGTGGGATTTCAAAAAAGGTATTTTATATCTCTATATTTAAAATATAGCAACTTGTTTTTAAATCCAGAAAAAATACTACAACAAAAAATAAAATCCGGGAGAGATATAACAAGTTCCTTGCTAAAAAAAGTTTCTTTAAGAACGTAAAAAATAGGTAAACGGGGTAACAAAAGATAAGGTTTGCCAAAGTAGTAGAGATTGTTTAAACCTTTGATATTTATACCAGTACTACGTTTTAAACAATTTTGGCGTCGTTTTCCCTTCAGTCTATTATAACTCCTTTATAGTACATAACATAGTACATAACATAATACAATACAAAACATCTAAAAGAGAAATTTTTGTTTGTAAACGTATATAATATTGAGGCGTTGTTGGTTTTGAGCTTTTAATCATATCTTAGTAATTATGATTACAGTAATTACATAATAATTTAGTAATAATGAGTAACAGTACATTAACTCATAAATGGACTAAAAAAGTGTTGGAGAAATTGATAAAAGACGTAGCAGCTCGCTTAATGTCTGCATCATTGACAAAGAGTGAATGCTGGACATATTTGCTTGGGGATGAAGTTTGCTACTTGAATTACTGCATACACAACAATTTAGTTTTATAAATATTTCAAGTAATCCATAATCATCTGCGATTCACAGGCATTGCATATTGCACACAATGCCTCTCTGAGCATTCAGTTTTAATAATTAACTGATTATTAATTGTTAAATAGAGCCAGTTGACCTTATTTACAATGACATTCTCAATTACTCTGATCACGCTTTTACAGTACATTAAATTAATGGCAGGTATTTTACAGTACATTGCAGGTACTGCCTTATAAGTGTGTTGGATTATTTGAGTTTAGTGAGTCTAAGACTGGCATTGCCGTGAAAGACAACTGAAATGCTTAAAAAACTTTTCCCTCAGAAAATAAGAAGTGACAATTTGGTATTTGTGTCTGATAATGGGATTAGTATGAAGTTAGCTTATCGCAACAATGTTAGACTTAGCTGTGCAGGTCATAATCTAAACTTAGCTATTGAAAAAACCTTGAAATCCCATGCTGCTAATTTAGCTCACAAAATAATTAAGACTTTTACTTCAAACATAGTTGGAAAAACCAGGATCTACATTACACTCTCAAATAGGATGTTTTGACTGTTTGGAACAGTCAATTTTTTTTTCTTTTATAATTATTGTCATGCCAATTAGATGATGCCACGTCCATTCTTGCTGATTCTGATTCAAAGTACTTTGACAAACTTGAGCTGACAGTAATGACACAATACATGAATTTGACAACTACTTGGCACTGCCCGTGACAACATGTAATGCACTTTAATTTTGGAAAGATAATGAACGTGAACATAACCTTCTGATATTGACATTGATTGCTAAAAAGTTGTTGGCTTTTCCTGCTACAAGTACTGCCAGTAAAAGTGTTTTTAGTTTGTGGGGGACAATGAGTGATCGCAGGGCTCCCCTAAACCTAGAAACATTAGAAATGCTGATATTTCACAAATATAACATGCAGCCCTGATTACTAGACTGACAATAGGCTACTTAAGCTAAGATTATCTATGTTCCAAAAGATACTGCTTTTTTGTTTTGCGCACTTTAACTGCAGCATTTTATTTTTTGAACTTTTAAAGTTGCAACAGTTAAAACTTGTAAAAAAGATTCATACCAAATTGAAATAAACTTGAACAAGATATAAAAGTTAAAAGGATTACGGTGAGATTTTGCTTATAACACAGTTTCAGATTTATCATCAGATAAAGATAACTCTATAAAGCCGTCATCGAGAGGCCAACAACATAGCATTAAATGTACCTCTAACCTTTTAATTATGCTGAAGTTAATATTAAAAAGAAAAAGATTAGGATTTTCTAGCGAAAAAAAAATATCTTTAAAACAGAAATAGATATAAAAAGGTTTTACTCCTCCTGCTCAAAAATACACCTTTGATTCTAGAAATTAGTTCTAGGACTGTTGCAGTAAATAATTATTAGGCGTCATAGTTTATTGTTACAATGTCTAATAATACTTTATTATTCAATAAAATTTGTGCTAAAGCATGTTTGTGGTGCCTTCAAAAAGATTTAAAATGTTTCTAGCTACAAGAGACTTTAGCAACGTGTACAAGATTTGTATTTTGCAAGATCAAAACTGGCGTGCTTTTGCTTTATTAGTAAATTTAATGAAATGATTGTTTTTTACTCATAAGATCTTTCGTAATATCAATTTCAGTCATAAGTATTTTTTAAAAAAGTTTTTAACTAAACTTGCGGCTAAATTAAAGTGTTCTAAAGAGACTAAGCACTAGGGTTATGACTTTTTATCAACCCCATGCTCCTATACTGTAGTTTAATGAACTTTTACCTAAAAAGCACGAAATTAACTATTTTTTGCAAATTTTTTTAAAAAAGTTCACCCCGCCATTGAAAAATTGATTTTGACATAAGTACTACTATGTATTCAAGTGTACTTAGAACGTCATAGTCATGTAATACAATAAATATTTAATCCAACAATGACTCAGACCGTTGACCTTGCTCTTGCTTGTTGCACAAAAGGAATCAAAGGTGCAATTTGTTTTTATTTTTGCATGATGAATAAATTTCCTCCATTACTTTGATTGCGCACTCTGCGCATTGATTACTTCCGGGTATCTGTAGAATGGATTGCTCTCGCTTCCAATGATTTTTTAAATAGCTTAATGCCTTTTTGTATGAATTCAGTATTTCAGCCAAGTTGTTAAATTTGTTTTCGTTGTACAGTTGGTCTGTAAACCAATGGTCTGCCCAGCCATACGATATAAATTGACACTCTCTGCAGAACAGTCCTTGTTGAAGGAATTAAAATGAAGGCCAGGATCTCTAGTTTAGCTCTGGAGTTCCACCTCGCATTGCTGATGTTGGGTATTTTCTGAAACCTGATCAACGGAAAATGTCCCTTTTCCTCAAAAAATCGGAACACTCGAGCGAGATAAAACAAAAATTTCAAATCATCTCTCCAGCCTGATGTTTCAAGAATTACTTCTGTTCCGTTATCAAACTGTGTTTTCAGTTGTTC